GTTTCAAACCATATAATGATTTGTCTAACTTACAGACTTTCGAGGCATGTTCGGGGATAACAAACCCTTCTGGGTGTTCCATATAGATTTCTTCATCCAGATCACCGTTCAAAAAAGCGGTCTTAACATCCATTTGGTGTACCACGAGATTGTTCAAGGCAGCAAGAGCAATCATTACACGAATGGATGTTATTCTAGATACTGGTGAATAGGTATCGAAGAAATCTATATTCTCTCTCTGCCTGTAGCCCTTAACTACTAAGCGAGCTCGGAACCTTTCGATTGCACCATCAGGTTTCCGTTTTGTTTTTTAGAACCCATTTATTACCTAAGACTTTGCAGCCAGGAGGTAAGTCTGTTAGATGCCAAGTCTTATTAGCTTCTAACGATTCCATTTCATCTATAACGGCCTCATTCCAAAAATCTGCATCTACGGAAGTTAATGCTTCCTGTAAACTTTTTGGATCTTCGAGGGTGAATACTGTAGTAAAGTCATCACCAAAATCTTTTGAGATTCTAGCTCTTTTACTTCTTCTGAGTTCATCCTCAGAACCAACACCCCCACTAGTTCCGTTATCTCTAATAGCGGGTAGTACATTACCCCCACTATTTCTCGTTTTAAATGGAAATCGTGTCTCAAAGAAATCAGCATCAATGGATTCTATTATAGTACGAGCATTCAAATCATAGAATCTATATGCCTTACTATTGGCCGCATAGCCAACGAAGACACATTCATATGCTCGACTAGCCAATTTAATCCTCTTAGGATCCGGAATTCTTACGTAGGCCAAACAGCCCCACGTTCTTAAATAGGACAGATTAGGTGGATTATTCTTCAAGATCTCATAGGGTGATTCTTTTCTATTTGTTTTTGGAAGACGGTTTAGCACATAGCAAACTGTCAACAAAATATCACCCCACCAAGAAGAAGCAGCTCCAGAATTGAGCCTAATAGCCACAACTAATTCTGTAAACGTCCTATTTTTCCGCTCAGCTTTACCATTCATTTCTGGTGAATATGGTGCCGTGGTTTCATGAATGATACCATGTGAGCTATAGAATTCCTTGAAGGGATTAGAGTCATACTCTGATCCTCTATCACTCCTAAGTCTCTTTATCTTTCGATTGCACTGATTTTTAAATTCAACCACAAATACCTTGAACATATCAAGGGCTTCACTTTTGTTTTTCATCAAATAAACAAAGCAATAATCAGAGCAATCATCTATGAAAGTGATAAAGTATCTCTTGCCAGACCTAGTTAACGTCCCATCTAGTTCACAAATATCAGAATGAATAAGATCTAAGGGTTCTGATTCTCTAGTCACAGATTTATGGGGCGTTTTCGTTATGTTAGCTTGGCTACAGAAATCACATTTATCAAATTCATTCATTGAGAGTTTAGGGATATGTCCTAGCTTGCTTAAATTCTTCACAATTCGTGTGTTCACATGACAAAGACGAGCATGCCAAACATTCAAATCACACACCATGTAAACTGAAGAATTCATCTTATTAATTTCGACATTCAACTTGAACATCCCATTACATGCATATCCCTTTCCCACAAAACTCCCATTCTTAGTAAGGGTATACAAGTCTGCCCCAATAGTTTGATTAAACCCAGCCTTATTAAGAAGATATCCCGAAACAAGATTCTTCCTTATCTCTGGAGTGTGCAACACATCCTTGAGCACCATCTTCTTCCCAGAGGTGAAGTTCAGCTCCACTTCACCAGAACCAGCAACCATAGTGGTGTGAGTAGTCCCCAATAACACTTTCTTGTCAGCAGGTGCTTCTGTGTATGTTTTAAACATAGCACGATTGTTGCATACATGCTTCGATGCACCTGTATCCAGCCACCATCCTTCTGAGTCACCGGTGAGGTTAACTTCAGCGATCATATCTGTGATCATGGCTATCAAATCCTCTTCTGTCAAGTTAACCCTAGCCGCAGCGGCAGGGTTTTGCTTGTTCCGGCATTTCTTTGCCATATGACCCGGTTTTCCACAGTTATAGCAGATAAACGGTGGGTCATTCTTAGAGGTTTGGGCCATGACCCTTTGGTTACCTCGAGAGGCACCATTCTGGTGGGGGCGGACCTGCTGGTTCTTACTCTTAGCTTCTCTGTTTCCAGTGTGGTTTTTTTTTTTTTTTTTTTGTTGTAGGTACGACGTGCATGATGATTATTTACTTAGCTTCTATTTATAATTCAACTTCTCTTCATTAGTTAATCAATATTAATGGGTTTCTTAATTTGGTGGTATCGATAAGATGATCAGCTGGAAGGAAGTGTACCGGCCGGATGTGCTATCCCGCAATGTGCTATGCGGCCTGCGGAATCGGAGGAAGGAGGCGTGTGAAATGTCAATTCTGATCATTACTACTCCCTTCGGTGGCATCAACGCCCCGAAGAGAATAAAGTGGTTCAAGCCAAAATTAATTAATTATTTGGCTAGAACAAGAAAGCTACAGACGTACGTACACTCTTAAATTCAGAATTCAGACTAGGGGTGGCTATATGGTCCGGTCCGGTTCGGTCCGGTCCGGTTAAATTGGACCAAATTGATCCGGTCCCAGTCCGGTCTTTTTCGGGAATATAAGGATCAAAGATTGGATTGGATACACTCCGGTCTTGACCCGGTCCGGTTCCAATTTTATCTTGATTTTAGGTGTTGGAGGTCTCTTATCCGGTCTTTATCCGGGTTTTTTACCTCAAATCTAAGCCCAAATATGAGATTGGATTGTTTGCTATCCGGTCCCAGTCCGGTCCCGGTCCGGGTTATACGGTCCGGTTTCGGGTAAAACCAAACAGTCCTGGACCAAATTGCCAGCCCTAATTCAGACTACATATATGCAAATTGGTATTTAGCATATAAGTATATTTGTCACAATAGGTGATTTACGTGGCTTTCAATATCTTAATAGCATCACATAATTAATATGTATCACCAATTCTGTTATTCTCTTTGGTGACATATGTTACCAGCATATATTATTTGCTACTAATTAATGAATTTGTGAAAAATAATTTTGTTGCTCATTTTTTTACAGGTTGTTTTATTGTTCTTTTCACATTGAAGGCTTAAGTATTTGCCGCTAATGCTTGCCGATAATTTTGTTTGTAATCATAATTTTTTTTTGTCTCCGTTGAAAGGTTGTAATGATAATTTTATTCGATTATAAATTTTGCTACAAATAATTATAAACTTATTCATAAAAATATAATAATTACGAAATCTCATATCAATTTAGCAATGAGAATACGAGTGTCAAAGAGAAGCTGATGAGAGTACAAGTGTCAACTTGTGTGTGAATGCATGGAGATGTTCATGATGTACGCTAACCATCATCACCAACAAGAAACCAACCATTGTCCTCGACGTTGTGGCGTCGTACGATACATGGATTTGGCTTGCCGTCTTTGGAACGCTTAGATGGAACAACGACATCAACACTCTAGGAGTGTCCTCATTATTCGATCAAGCAGTGTAAGGGCTGGTTTCCAAGGTAAGTTATGCGCTAAATGGTCATACTTATGATCAATATTATTATTTGGCTGACGGAATTTATCCTGAGTGGGCCACTATCACCCTTCCAAACTATCACCCATCATGAACTACATTTAAGCACTCTTCCTCGGTCTACTCTTGCTATCACATTTCGGCTTGGTAGTGAAGGAGTTCTAAAACAATGTGGGGGGTTTCAATGGCTTGACTACCAAGAAACCCCTCCTAGAGCATACACTTTGGTTTTTCGTGGCACTCTCTACTTTATTTACCCCGTTTTATTACCTCTTTTTCGATTCCTTGTTTCCTTTTCTACTTTCTTTTCTTTTTCTTTTTGAGGGGGTACTAGAAAGTAAAACACTTGCCACCTATATATTGAACGACCAAAATGTCTTTAATTGACAACCCTTAGATCTAGATTTTCTGGGCACACTAAAATTCAATGGTTGCTGACCCTATCCTAAGCCCTGAATTTTGGCTGAACATTTGGTTTTGGGCTTTAGCAATGGAAACATATAATTTTGTGAGTTTTTTTGGCGTCGAGCTCAATCACTAACTTGTTGACAAGGAATGTGTTATTCCTAGCGGAAAAATGCTTTACTAAGGCCACGAATTCTTCTACTTTTCCTCCGTGCTCCAAAACATGCCGTTTTGCCCCATCGTTTTCACCCACCCAACGCTAGAAATCTCTCGCTTGCTCAGCCTCCATCTCCCTCTCTCCCCTCTCTCCAGCAACCCCGCCACCTCCTTCTCCACCCAGAGTCCCAGACCACCACTCTATCGTCTTCCTCTCCCTCGCCAGCCCCGCACCGCCATCAGCGTTTCTCCCTCGCCAGCCCCGCGCCACCATCATCTGCGAGAAGCTCCTTCCGAATTTGCCGTTTATCAGAGAAGCTACAACAGGTGCATGTTTCTCCTCCTGCTAGCAACCCAACAACAACGAATGAGCTTTCCCCTCCTCGATTCCTCCTCCAGAAGAGAAGCACCAGCCGCACATCTTTCTCTCTGCTATCGTGACGGAAACCCAATTCTTGGGATTTATCATAATAATAATTATTACTATAATTAGCATATTATTAGATATGGTAAAAGTCATTGAGTCATATTAGGATAGTCTATTTGGGTTTTCTAGTCTTTCGCTATAAATATGTAATTGGTCTTTCATTCATAGTCAGTCAAGAAGAATATTAAGAAATCTCTCCTAAACCCTAATCTCCCAATCCTCTCAATTCAAGATCTCAATCCCTCTAAAGGCCTAGGCCGATTCTCTATCCTTCTCTTCTCAAATCCCTAATTCTGTTATTTAATCCCTAAATCCCAATCCCACAACCAGACCCGATAGAATCCTAAACCCAGGTTCTATCATTTGGCATCAAAGTCATGGTTACGAATCTATGTTCATCACAACTCTCACCAGGAAATTTTTATCAAAACCTCTATCAATGGATTGAAGCCCCCCAAGCCAGCCTAGCAAAACATGAAGCTAACATGGAAGTTCACCACAACAATATGATGGCATGCCTCGAAGAACTTCTAGCCAAACTCGAGGAAATTATGGCCCGCCGCCGTGCGACCAACATCCATACAGAATCAGCAGATCCGTCAGAGGTGACGACAAATGATGGCTCGACAGTCATGGACGAAGCCGCTGACTTCGACGCAGTGGAAAAGGAGTCCTTGACCTCAGGAGATGAGGCAACCAAAGGCTCTGCGGCAGGCGCGTGCCTTGTGACGGTGGCTGGAGTGGTGGCGGCGCAAGAGGGCCTGATACTGCAAAATTTTCACGCTCAACCATGCGGACGCCAAAGGAGATCTCCAATGAGTTCACTGTCCCAGCCCAAGAGGGCAAAGCGGCACCGTTTATCGCTGCTGTGAAGCCGATAGCGGAAGAGTAGACGACGCAGCTGAGAAGAGTAGAGTTGTTCCGCCAACGAAACAGTACATCAAGGCCACCACGACAACTGCTGCGGGTCAAATCCAGGCAGTCCCTGTCGCAAGAGACGGATCGGGCGATTATCCTACCCCTCCGATATCAATGATCTCAGGTTTGAAAGATTATGGTGTTGATTATAGTAGGGGTTTGATTTGGCGGTCTCTACAGGGCTCAAGTTGGAAATTCATAAAGAAGGAAAGGTTGAAAGAGGCAGATCCGAAGCGGGTTTGTCGGGTTTCTTCGTCAGTGGCGAGAGTCGCGCGAAGAACGCTGCAACCCATGGTGGTTTCCCTTGAGGCAGAATCGAGCAAGTCGGGGATGCGGGTGGATAGTGAGCCTGAGTCGTCGGGAAAGAAAGTGGTGCAATAGTTGAAAACGACGATCACGGCTTCGATATCAATCTTCCCTCAATTGGCGGATCGTGGCTCGAGAAAAGAAGAGACGGAGGCGGAGGAAGAAATAAGGAAGATGCCGATGGCGGATTTGCAGTCGGAGGGAAGGTCCGATCGGGTGGTTCAGCGGCGGACTTCGGCGATCGGCAAGGAGAAGTTGACGGCGGAGGGGAGCTCGCCTCGACGCCATCGGGGGAAAAAGACCTCGCCGGGAAAGGAGAAGAAGGAGAACGACGCTGGGGAGCTTTCTCACTCTTCGGCAGAGTTGAGGTCGGCGACAGAAACCGGCGGGAATAGCCGCCGAGGAAGCTCTTCGCCACCGAAGGGGGTGCTGGAGTCGAAGAGGAAGAAGGAGCATTCGCCGGGATTGAGGATCGAACAGCTAGAGAGGAGAATCGCGCAAGGAAGGCCGGGACTCTCGATGGTTTCCTTGGCGGGGGATCTGATCGGGTGGGTGTATCGGGCTCCCGTGGCAGCATCGAGTGACGAGGACGCAAGGATAAGGAGGTGGCCGGAACTTCTTGGTGCCGGGTGGTGCGTTCTACACTGAACGGCGAGTTAGAAAAGTTTCCGCCGACGGATGGAAGGAGGATGGAGGGCGGCGGAGACTCCATGAGTCTCCTACTCTTCCACGAAGTCCCCAGAACAGCTACAGAGGGCCACAGCTTGAGCCCGTTAGCGTTTGGCGTGGGCTCGTGACGGGCTGGACGAACCAGGGGAGCGGGCCACGGTCTGAATTCCTGGGTTGTGGGCCAAACAAAGAAGGAGCAGTGGACTTTAATTCTAAGCATGGGCCGAATCTTTTCAAAGTAAATGGGCCACTTGTGAGTTGTATTTTTGGATCTGTTATTCAGGGCAGGAATGGAAAGGAAGAAGGAGCTGGGCTTTTAAGAGAGCATAGCCCAAAAGCAATTGGAGAAACTATATATGGGCTAGCTCCAAGGAAAATGTATAAATGTCTTGGTGGGTTGGTGCTTAATGATAGATTCTTGAACAAGAACGAACTGTTGGGTTCCTCGAGTTGTTTGATTGAGATGCCCACAAAAGCAGAACTGTTGAAGTTCGAAATTATCAAGAAAGCGAATAGTGGGCCGATGGAAGTGAAATTCGAAAAATTGAGTCCACACGAGAAGAGTGGTGCAAGAAGTCTAAGTGAAGAGTTAGAGCATGAGTTGAAGAAAAGAAAACGCGAGGAGTGGAGGAGGCAAGGCGCGATCTACACGGGCGATGTTAAGAAATGGGTCGAGTCGGTCAACCTTGAGGGCAAGGTTGGTCTCAAGGGGGAGGGGATGATGGAAACCCAATTCTTGGGATTTATCATAATCATAATTATTACTATAATTAGGATATTATTAGATATGGTAAAAGTCAGAAAAAATCCCAAAATAGTCTAATTATTAAAAAAAATTCACTAAATACAGTACTTATAAACTTATTTCCCAAAATACAGCAGTTTCAACATCATTGTTTTTGTCTTCGACAGTGATAGTGATCACCGCTTTTGTCCAAAACGGGGAAGGTATCCCCGCTTTTGACAACAACGAGGAATACATCACTGCTTTGAACAACAACGGGGAAGTATTCACCGCTGCTGTCCAAAACGGTGATTGCTTCACCGCTGTTGTGAAAAACGGTGATCACATCATCGCCGTCGACCAAAACGGTGATAATTGACCACATTTTAGAGCCCTGGTAGGTGGAAAATTAGGTCACAGCGACCTAGCTATCACCGCTTTGGACAAAAGCGGTGATGTGTTCACCGCAATTGTCCACTGCGGTGATTAACTGCCATTTTTTCCTATAAATACCAACCACCACTGCCCCTCCTGCTGCCTTACAGTAAAGTAGTACAAAAATTAGTGTTTTTAGTCGTTTTCTCAGCTGGTTTGGAGTTGGTTTACTGCTCAAGAAACTCGTCGGGTTTCGGTATTTTATAATTATGTAATGTTTACATGTGATGTGTTAGTAATTATATGTCTGTATTTAGTGAATTGCGGTTATTGGAAAATATGTTATGATATATTTAGATTAATTATGATATGATAGATGTTAGTTAGTTAGTACTGAATTTAGATGAATTTGTTTAGTTTTCTCATGATAGATCGGGATTCGATATGTTATAATTATGTATTGTTTACATGTTGATGTGTTAGTAATTATATGTCTGTATTTAGTGAATTGCCGTTATTTGAAAATATGTTATGATATATTTAGATTAATTATGATATGATAGATGTTAGTTAATTAGTACTGAATTTAGATGAATTTGTTTAGTTTTCTCATGATAGATCGGGATTCGATATGTTATAATTATGTATTGTTTACATGTTGATGTGTTAGTAATTATATGTCTGTATTTAGTGAATTGCCGTTATTGGAAAATATGTTATGATATATTTAGATTAATTATGATATGATAGATGTTAGTTAATTAGTTATGAATTTAGATGAATTTGTTTAGTTTCTCATGATAGATCGGGATTCGGTATGTTATAATTATGTATTGTTTACATGTTGATGTGTTAGTAATTATATGTCTGTATTTAGTGAATTGCGGTTATTGGAAAATATGTTATGATATATTTAGATTAATTATGATATGATAGATGTTAGTTAATTAGTTATGAATTTAGATGAATTTGCTTAGTTTTCTCATGATAGATCAATTACATGCGTTTGTTTATGGGTTTGGATGATATTATTTTTGTATCCCTAATGTACTAATTATATACTATACTTAATTATTACAAAATGCCGACATGGGTAAATTTAAGAAGTTTCGGCTTATTATTCGGTGGAATGGTCGGGTGACAAACTCGAACACTGGGATCGACTATGAAAATTGTGAATCCACTATGCTAAAAATTGAGTCGAGATTCTCGTGGCAAGAACTCCATAACATTTGTGCAGAAAGGACTTGTACGGGAGGGCAAAGGAGAGTTGGTCAAATCGCTTAACGCTATCCAAACATGCGTGCTGACGGAATCATGTACGAAAAAGTTGTCATAAATGATGATGACTCGGTGAACATGATGATACAGTTCCTATCTGACAACGGGGTGCGGCTTGCAGTGGTGTATGTCGAGACCGAGCCGGTCGGTGAAACTCATTCTCACTAGTATTCTTGTGATGATGGTTTTGCAGGAGGGTATGGCTAGGGTGGTAGTTCAAGTAACTACGGAGGAGGTACTTCTGCAGGAGGGTATGGCTGGGGTGGTACTTCAAGAAACTACGGAGGAGGTAGTTCTGAAGGAGGTGTTGGGTGGGAAGAATACCCGCAACATCGTTCTGCCATTGTCGTCAGCAAATCGTTGTCAATATCAAGCCTCATGAAGTGCCTCAGCATGTGCAATCCCGTCCTCTCTAGATAGGGCGCCAGTCGAGCATGCCAACGGGGCAATCGACATGTCCCTCGATGACTGATGGGAATAAGTGATTCCTACAAAACAAAACAAAAAACAATGTTGTCAGTCAATCATAGAAAGCAAAATAAAAACTTTAAAACTAATGAAATAATTTTAGTGTATACCGGATTATTGTTCCAAATTGCACGGGAACGATGTTGATCTTGCCCGGTTAAATACCTTCGATCCCTTGGGCCAGGATCGATATACAATCGAGGGTCGTATATCTCAGCACCCATCTATAAAAAAATATGAAATCAAATCAATTTATATTTTAGCACACATGTAAAAAAAATCACAAAAGAATAAAATAAATTTACGTACTCTCAGAGCCTCTTCGTCCATTTTTTGCCGAAAAGCTAACGAGAGTATCGACAAAACAAAAACTCTAGAAATTCTTTCTGATGCGGAAGATCGGACTTAGCCACAACCACAGAGCATACTTAGAACGAAACTAGAGTGAAGTAAAGGAGGGAGAAAGAAGTATAAAATTTTGGTGTGGTTTGGAATGACGGGGGGAGTGGTATTTATAGGGGAAAGGGGCGTTGGAAATGGATCCAGGAACCAATCACCGCTTTCGTCGAAAGTAGTGAAGTCACCGCGTTGGAGAAAGGCGGTGAAGGCTCGGATAGCTGACGTGGCGACCTGTGAGGCGTCGGATCGTGGAGAAAAACCACAATCCGCGCCTCAGCGCATTGAACGGCAGCGGTGAAGGGCGCGGACGACGCGGATAGCTGACGTGGCGGGTCGGGGCTATCACCGCTTTTCTCATTGGCGGTGAAGTGCCCGTGCGCGTCCACGTCAGCGATCCGTGTCCACTTCACTTTTTTCCCCATCAACGGTCATTGTTTGTTCACCGTTTCCCTTATCAACGATCAGCGTATCACCGCTTTAACCTAACGCGGGGATTGCTTCACCGTTTTTGTCCAAAACGGTAATGGCATCACTGTTTTTGTTAAAAGCGGTGATGCAATCACCGTTTTGGACAAAAACGGTGATTGTAATCACTGTTTTACTCAAAGACAGTGATGTTGAAACTGCTGTATTTTGGGAAATAAGTTTATAAGTACTGTATTTAGGGAATTTTTTTTTAATAATTAGTGTATTATGGGATTTTTTCCTAAAAGTCATTGAGTCATATTAGGATAGTCTATTAGGCTTTTTAGTCTTTCGCTATAAATATGTAATTGGTCTTTTGTTCATAGTCAGTCAAGAAGAATATTAAGAAATCTCTCCTAAACCCTAATCTCCCAATCCTCTCAATTCTAGATCTCAATCCCTCTAAAGGACTAGGCCGATTCTCTATCCTTTTCTTCTTAAATTCCTAATTCTGTTTTTTAATTCCTAAATGCCAATTCCACGACCAGACCCGATAGAATCCTAATCCCAGATTCTATCATTGACTCACCAGGTAACTTATTCTTCCTGCCATCAACTCAATCCATGTTTGCTTGTGATGGTGAATTGGACCGATTTGTAGGGTAATTTTAGGATAATTGTGATCATGATTTCCTTATGCTGCGAGTTTGAATCAAAATAGACGTTGCCGTCGCCAGAAATCGCCATAAACAGCTTCTGTACAAGGTCCTTCATCGAGAAGTATGCAGAGATATCTGATGACTAGCCTCTTCCGTTCATCTCGCTATGTCGGCTCAGCAAAATCTATACCTTGTTCAATTTTTGTGTCTTGGACGGCTGCTGTTTCTACAGGTCGGCTGTACGCATCCGTATCCTGCGAGAACCCTGCTCCCAATTCATCGGCTCGGGTGAAGCAGATTACAGGTCATCAAAAATTCGCTCTGAAGAGATTGCTGGACAAGATGGAAGGCCATCTGTCTGATCCTTTCGATCCAAGTCATCATTATGCGTCGCAGTTCGAAGAAGACGAAGCGCGAAAGGGGTGGGATGGGGTTTCAGTTCTTGAATCAGAGCTGGAGCCAGCTCTCAAAGGTGAGAAAAATAACCAATCGAGCACCATCAACTAGCTATATATGACTTGCTTAAGTTAGTGAGAAATAATGTCCGAAATTGGATCTTAAATCACTTCCTTACACTTTGTATATAAACAAAGAATTGTTGCTTGTATAGGGGGTGTGAAGAAACAGAAACATTGATACATAAAAAAAGAGAATGATTCCTTTTATTTTGTTTCAATTAGCAGATCCGATTCTCGAGTTTGGGATGTACAACAAAGTTGACGCGGAGTTGCTTCCTTCGATCCAGAAATTGCTCCTGAAGATGATGTTGTCAGGAGAATACGATGACTTGGTGCTGGTGAAGGATAATGAGACCGGATCATTGTAATGACAAAGAGATGGAAGGTCTTTCAAAAGTATGCCTACTTTCTTCCAGGTGCGGTTGGTTTCCCTCCATTTATTTCCATTCTTGGGTTAATTCAATCAAGTTTGATGTTGCCATGTCTGTTGTTTGTAGGTGGTTACCATCCATAGTGACACCTTTAATCTAATGTTGTACGTTTATTGCCTTGAGATAAATTTTTGTTTTTTAGTGCCTAATCCAGTATTTATGTTTGTTCTCTTTTCAAAGAACAATTTAGTTATGGTTGCATCCATTCTTATCCATAAGAGTGAAACTATCATCGAGCTTGATTGATGTTCAGGTTTCATGGTAGTTGGCTTCAATGTAGTCAAAATTCCGATTTTTATTTTAAAATCTTACGATTTTACGATCTTACCTATGGGTTCCGATCCTGATTTCATGGTAGTTGGCTCTTCTACAAACTCCACATTGGTGGATATTTGTCAATTGTTTTTGGCTGCTCCTTCATCTCTGTCTGTCTCCACCTTTTTGTTGATGTCTGGTTTAAAAGCCCTTTTCAACAATTTCAATGATCTTCGTTTCTCTTTCCTTTTTCTTCTTTTTGCTGAAACCTCCCCTCTTTTTTGTATGTAAAGAAGGAAGGAAAGAATTTTTGCGGAATTTTTTTTTTCATGTAAGACCAATTGTGGTTCTTCTTCTTCTTTTTCCGATTGTATATGTAAAGGAAGAAGGATAATTTCAGCAGAATGATTTTGGCCCGTAAGAACAGTTAGGGCTCTGATACAATGTTGAAATTTCTGGTATGTTCTTATACCATGTTGGATTTTTGATAATGTATTTATGAATAAGTAGGAAAGCAAGAATTTCGAGAAGGTTGGGAGAGAGCTATGGTAGAGAGAAATGTAACACTAGAAAGCTTCTTTTTTTTTTTTTCTTTCTCAAGGGTTCATCTCACAATTGCATATTTTTGGTCGGATCTTTCTCCATACCTCTCTTTGGTGGGAGATTTTCTCCACACACATATTCAATACAACCATGGCCTTTTGTATCCATTGTACATGAAAATATCTAGATTTTAGTAGTTGTATCACAATGTATTTGTGGTGATCATTTCTCACCATGCACCTATTAAATTGATATAACAAAGAATAAACTGACAATGTCTAATATCTCAACCACCATCTTTCATACCACATATTTTTCTTATTTATTTTGTTATATTTGTTAATTCTTGGGTAGTAAATCTCATAATTAACCTACATTATTTCAACAATAATTACCCAACCTTGCTTTGATTATTATTATTTTTGGATTGTGTTTCATTTTAATAATTTTCAGATTAACTTACGGAAAAGTTGAAGAGGATGGACAAAGAGTTGGAGAGGATGGTTGAATATGAGGATCTTAGCGAAAAAGTTGAGTTCCTCCGACTGCTTACTGATCATTGGAAGAAAGCATTAATGAGTTATTTGAACCGTTTGGAAGTTGATGAAGAGGAGTCCACACAAGACTTTGATGGTGAGGAATGAAAATACGCGTGCCATAGTTTGATGATGAGAACACTCTAATGCTATAAGATGAGGATATATGCAACGTGCCTATTTTGATGATGATAGCTTATGTGATCTAAACCTTTTTCAGTTGTCCCGCCTTTTGCGAAACGGTATATATACGAGGATGCTTCATATGTCCCACCTTTTGCTAGACCTTACATGTCAGAGGCCGCTTCGTATGCACTGTCGCAGCTCCATCTCTGCTATTCAATTTGGGAATATGAAAGTAAATGGAAAACTCTTTGATTTTCTTATAGTTTAAATTGAATTCATTAAGGTCAAGGTCCGCCCAAGCAAGATTGCCTTTCTCATAGTTTACAACAACCAAAGTGAGTACAAAGGTAGCTAGCGATAACCTACAATCAACAAACAAACTAAGAACAAACTATCACAAATTAGGGATGACAATTTACCCACCCATGGGTAATTTTACCCAATCCCAAGTAAACCCATTGATTCTGGGTAGGATAGGGTATGGGTGAGATACATATGATTTTGGGTTGGATTTGAGATGTGTATGAATATTGCTTCCATAATCTAAATGGATATGAGTTGGGTTTGGATACTCATTTACTTGGGGTTGTTTTTACAACACATACAAAAAGCGAACCTATTTGTAAAATTCAAAATGTTTAGGTATCAAAATGTAATACAAAAAATTTAGGTACCAAAATATAATTTTTCGTTGATATTTTGAGGATTTATATGAAAAATAAATTAAATATAGTTGCTAAATCTAAAAACATATTAGGTTTAGGTACCAAAATGTAATTTGAAAATGGGTATGAGTACAAACCCAAATACATAAACTAAAAATTCAACTAAACCCGAATAAATGGGTATGGATATAAACCCATAAAACTCTACCCATCTACCGTGAACCATCTATTTGGATGTCATATCCAACCGAATTGAATTGAATATTAAAATATCCATGGGTTTGGACACAATTGCCATCCCTAATCACAATCTTAGCAAGACTCAACGGCTGCAACTCAACATCAATGACTCAAAGCCAATCACTTTATAGAGCTGTGCACTTTAAGGCATATCGATCTCTACTTTAATTCTGTGGTTGAGGTGGATTTTAGCTTGGCATTCGGAGTTCAAGGAATTGATGGACAAGTATTTCAAGGGCCGCATATCGAGGGATGTGCTTCCTGACTTGATCACGGAATCGATTCTCAAGTTCAATTTGGAAGAAATCAATAAGAAGTGGAAGCATCTTCGGGGCTATATCTATGCCGAGAGAGAAATGTTTGTGTTTTTGAGAGGTAAGAAAAACACTTAGAAAATTGATAGCTTAGTTTTATCTCTTTCTCATTTAATTAAATTCGGGGTTAGGTTGGATTTTGGAAGTGCAAGTATTGGAAGAGAAGTATTGGCAAGGCAAAGAGGACGTGCTTCTGGCTTTTAGTAAAAAACTTCTGGAAATGAGATTGTTTGGGAAACATGATGACTTGGTGGGTTGGCCATCGTTATGCCGTAACCGGCCTTACGAGTGGTCAAGAATGGGATCCAGAGCCAATTACTTCGACGGCTTTGCCGAAATTCTTCCACGTATGTGTCTTGTTCTGACCCTTTGTAAAAGTGTAGGTACAACATAAAGTTGTACCATTAGTATAGGTACAATTTTGCGTTGTACCATAGAGGGATTTGCTAGAAAGTGTAGGTACAACTTAAAGTTGTACCATAGAAGGATTTTTAGAAAGTGTAGGTACAACTTAAAGTTGTACCATAGTATAGGTACAAGTTTGGGTTGTACCATAGAAGAATTTTGAGAAAGTGTAGGTACAACTTAAAGTTGTACCATTAGTATAGGTACAATTTTGAGTTGTACCATAGAAGGATTTGTTAGAAAGTGTAGGTACAACTTCAAGTTGTACCATTGTATAGGTACAAGTTTGGGTTGTACCATAGAAGGATTTCAGAAAGTGTAGGTACAACATCAGGTTGTACCAAAAGAATAGGTACAATTTTGAGTTGTACCATAGAGGGATTTGTTAGAAAGTGTAGGTACAACTTAAAGTTGTGTCGTAGTATAGGTACAAGTTTGGGTTGTACCGTAGAAGAATATTGAGAAAGTGTAGGTACAACTTAAAGTTGTACCATTAGTGTAGGTACAATTTTGAGTTGTACCATAGAGAGATTTGTTAGAAAGTGTAGGTACAACTTAGAGTTGTACCATTGTATAGGTACAAGTTTGGGTTGTACCATAGAAGAATTTTTAGAAAGTGTAGGTACAACATAAGGTTGTACCACAAGAATAGGTATAATTTTGAGTTGGACCATTGAGGGATTTGTTAGAAAGTGTAGGTACAACTTAAAGTTGTACCATAGTATAGGTACAAGTTTTGGTTGTACCGTAGAAGAATATTGAGAAAGTGTAGGTACAACTTAAGGTTGTACCATTAGTGTAGGTACAATTTTTAGTTGTACCATAAATGGATTTGTTAGAAAGTGTAAGTACATTTTAAAGTTGTACCAAGCTATAGGTACATGTTTGGGTTGTACCATAGAAGGATTTTGAGAAAGTGTAGGTAAAAGTGAAGGTTGTACCATAAGTATAGGTGAAATTTTGAGTTGTACCATAGAGGGATTTGTTAGATAGTGTAGTTACAACATTAGTTGTACCATAGTGTATAGGTACAATTGTGAATTGTACCATAGAAGATTTTTAGGAAAGTGTAGGTACAACTTTAAGTTTAGTGTAAAGGTACAACTATTGAAAGTATAGGTACATCTTAATTCCACGTCTGTTATTTTGCCAGAATGAGCTGTGAGAACGTTTCAGTGGCAGCTGTGTTTTTCAATTTCGCGTGAGATTTTGACGGGCGTGACAATGTCAAGTAGTAGCCGTGAAATTTCCTGGGATAGTGAGAACTGATCTTTGCATCTCACGGGACATCTCACGGCCGTGATATTTTCCTATGGAATGAAGCACTGCTTTTTACATCTCACTTGAGTATTTTACGGTCGTGAAATTACCAGTATAAGGTGTCAGATTTCCAGTAGGAGACTTTCACCTGTTGAATTATCCCCTTCATTTATTATAATGGTGTTTCAAACATAATGGACTTTTTTCCAGAATTCAAACTTATGAAAAAGATGATTCATAATGTCTCTAGAGCTTGACACGAGCATTACATAGATCCATTCACAATGTTCTCTAGTAACCGTACATCATATTAGATGAGATACCCTGTTAAAAAAAAGTAAAAAGCAGTCAAAGCATTACATTTATCTAATAAAATAAGCATCCATAACACGATTAAATATATCTAATTAATGCTTAAGTTTAGCTGCATGTAGCCCCACACCAGTGCATCATCATATTCTAATTGGAAAACATACAAGCACCAACACAAACACACATAGATAAGTACTAAGGCCTTTGGTTGGCCCATCTTCACTTCCCATCTTCCTCGTCAGTGTTCTCATCCTCATCCTCGTTTTCCTGGATTTGCACATCTTCATTGTCCTCGCTAGAGTCACTTGCCTCTTCCTCATTGGTCCCTTTGTCCTCTTGATTTCTTTCCTTGCTTTGGTCATCGCCATTGTCCTCGTCGTCCTCTTCACTGCCCTCTTCGTCATTGGTCCCTTTGTCCTCTTGATTTTTTTCCTTGTTTTGTTCTTCGCATTGCCCTCGTCGTCCTCTTCACTCCCCTCTTCCTCATTGGTCCCTTTGTCCTCTTGATTTCTTTCCTTGTTTTGTTCATCGCCATTGCCCTCATCATCCTCTTCACTGCCCTCTTCCTCATTGGTCCCTTTGTCCTCTTGATTTCTTTCCTTGTTTTGGTCATCGTTATTGCCCTCGTCATCCTCTTCACTGCCCTCTTCCTCATTGGTGTGATTGTCCTCTTCACTGCTTTCCTTGGTTTGCTCATCGTCATTACCCTCGTCATCCTCTTCACTTCCCTCTTCATTGCATTCCTCGGTTGGCTTAGGAGATAGTTCCCAAGGTCTTAAGAATTTTTTGTAGTCAATCCTCAAGGACCTCATGATGTGATGGTTGCATTTGATGATGTTGCGTCGAGCTTCCTACTCTCGATCGAGGCGGGAGAGAATGAGTGCATTTTGCTCCAGAATTTGGGCATTCTGCCGACCCAATATCTCAAAATGGGATATGTATCTTTCGGTGGATGGTCCGGCTTGAGTCGTAGTTTGGTGATGTTGTGCAGGTTGTTCCGGTGCTCCGATGCGTTTGCCTCATCTGTTGCAAGAGGTGGAGCAGAATGAGGGAGGCCAACAATGCCTAGCACACCATTCTCCTTAACCACCAAACACAGACATGATCAATATCAGAAGCATTAGTTACATTTGCTCAATGTTCAAAAGGAACTAGATTAGTAGGCAATCCAAAACTTGCACAAAATCAATCCTAGATTGTTTGAATCCCAACTAGTTCTGGATGATACGCCATGGGGAAAAAAGATCATTCCCTTTATAATGGGCAGTGTCAGACTTTGCCTGGTGCTCTTGGTGAATATATTTTCTCTGAAATCAAACCATGTCCATCTGTAGTGAGAAATCCTGGTGGGTATATCTGGAGTGCCTCTGTGAACTCAGTGATGCTCATCTGTCTCGCCTATCCTCCAAGGCGAAAAGTTATGT